GTACAGGTCAGTGTGTAGACGGTTGTACTTTCCTATTTGAATTAGCAAACCAAGGCTATATCATGTGTGGGGTTTTCCCCCAGTTGGAGGTCAGACACATGGCAGAGCGAGGGCTCCAACCCAGGTTTTCTGTGACTCCGTCTGTGCTGGCTGCACTATCATGATTCACACGGGTTGTCCCTTACAATCTGTCGTCTCATTTGCGTGCTCAATGCCATATGCCTCGTGAAGGATTATAAAATGGTTAGCAGACATGTTCCCTCTGTCAGAGGAGTTTACAGTCAGTCAGAGACAGTGGGACTTCAAGTCAACTCATGGACTCCACAAACCACTCACAAATAAAATCTGAGAATTCATGGGGAAAACCGAAAACGCTACGTGGTTGCAGAGACCGGGAATCAACGTATGTCGCATGGACAGCAGCAGTCAAATAGATGGTTTGATAATATTGTAATGACTCTGTAGGGTGCCAGGTGGGGACTAGACTAATCAGGAGATCACATCGTAAGTAATATGAATGTCTAACCAGTGTGCTGTACAGCTGAAACTGACATAAAAATAATATTCAATGTCAACTGTCATTGAAAAAGAAAAAAAAAAGAAATGAGCTATCAAGCCATGAAAGACATAGAGGAGCCAAAAATGCATATTGCTGAGTGAAAGAAGCCAGTCTGAAAAGGCTACAGGCTCTGTGAGTCATAGTTTTTGCCTTTGCAAAGAGGGGAGCAGAGAGGATGTTTAGGGGCAGCGAAACCACTCTGTGTGAGGCTGTAATGGTGGGTGCCTGTCATTGTATATTTGTCATAACCCATGGAGCAAGGAGCACCCAGAACCCTAATGCAATCTGTGGACTTTGGGTGATCATGAGATGTCTATGTGGTTTCCTTGGCTGTAAAAAAAAAATGTGCCACTCTGGCAGGTGTTGACAGTGGAGAGAGCCGTGCACGTCTGGTGATGGGATGTATATGGAAACTGTCTACTTTCTGCTCAATTTCAATATGAACCTGAAACCGCTCTAAAAACTAAAGTCTATTAAGAAAAAGAGGGGGGTAAAAAACAANGCACTCTTAACCAACTGAGCCACCCGGCCAGCCCCTCTATTTTCCTTTTCAATTAAAAGAAAAAAGGGTAGCCATCAGGGATCTATCAAATAAGTAAAAATACATTCTCCTTATTGGTCCGCTAGACATGGAAGGGAACCCATTCACTGAGCACCTACTATGTGCAGGTATTTAAAGATGCCATTTAAAAAAAGTTCTTTCAAAAGACCCCTCTTGTGCAAATATTATTCCACTCTTTTATGTATCAGAAACCTAAGGTTCAGGATGGTTCAAATAAAAATTAGATGGAGAAAAAGTGTCTAGCAAGTGGTTAGGTGAGAGATTCTCCTGTCTGACTCTAAGGACGCGTGCTTTTTTTCTTGCCCACACATCTAGCTGGAAGCATCTATTTCTGTATCCCTCCCCTGAGTTATCTATCCACACAAGACCTCAGTCACCAAAACTGCACCTAGAAAGGCACACACATCGAATCGTCGGTGCTTTCTTACCATATTGGAAAACTGTGACTGGACAACGTGTGCTCCTCGTGACCAAGTGTCACGTATCTCCAAATTTTCACATCCTCTGCGCTGAACAGTGACATCAAATGGCCTGCGTCCAATCATCGACGGAGCCACGGACCAAAATCCTGCTACCCCCAACCACTGCGTCGATGAAGATGTTTTAGTTCCCAGACCTGGGAGATGTCGGGTTGCGTGCAATGCCGTCGAAGGTTCCTTGCTGCTCTAAAACTCTGTTTCTATGTTATCACTTTTCTGTGTTCCCGTATCTTCATTTTCATCTCTCCTCCTGTTCCAGTCTTCTCGTGCACAACCACAAAAGCAGGGAACAAACCAGATCAAACCAAAGCGTGTGGATGAAACGCTTGAGATCTCCTCTGTCTTGCCGTCCCAGCTCCCCAAATTCTTGACATGCCCATTTTCATATTTTCTACACTGCCTTTTTCACATGTACTCTGGACTTTGGCTTATAAATGAACATGCCTTTTTTTTTTTTACCTTTCTGGACTGTAAAAAACTTGNGGGGCGGGGGCGGGGATGGGGGTGGAGGCTGGCAGTTTAAGCCTGTGGAATGTGCTCACCAGGATTACAGTGGAGCTATGCAAAATCAGGTCTAACGAAAGCTTCAGAGTGTAGGTACACAAGGAGGTTCCCCTTCATTCAGCCTCTGCAATCTGACGGATGGCTAGAGCAGGTTTCTTTGGTTACTTAGGGGCCAATGCTAGAGAAAGATGAAAGGTGAATTTGATAGTCTGTCAAAGGATACAGATGCCTATAATCAAACTATAATTTAAAAAGTGTGTGTGTGTGTGTGTGTGTGTGTGTATGTGTGTTACACTTTCTGGGTTTGAAATGACTCATAGAGATACTATTTTCTAGCAAGGGTCGATTTTCTGTTTTTCTTTTTTTTTTTGAGCACTCTGATTAAAGATACATTTTTTTATTTGCCCAGAGGAAAGGATGTCTTGCCATGCACATCCTTTGATTGGGTTATCTGATTCTGCAGAACATTTGCCACCGAGGGTTAGTTCTTAACCGTCTTTAGAAAATGTTCATGTTGGGGTGTCAGCGTCTTCCTGTGAGGAAAGGGTACCCACCCCTTCTTCACGTCTCTGTCCTGGCCAAGCCCCATCCGTCTTCTCTCAACAGACTTGTAGGAAAGATGGATGGGGTCTGCTGATTTTTAGCATTTATGTAGGAATTTCGGCAGGATGGGCAGATACTATGGGAAGCTAATAATTATTTGGGACGTGCCACTGAGTGGTTTGCAACTGCTAAATAAGCAGGTTGGACTCATTTCCTAGTTTCGTTTCGTTGTGGGGAACGCTTTGCTTTGATGTTGTAAGAAGGGTTTATTTGGTACAAAGGAGGGAGGGACGTTTTCGGAGGCAAATGGGACCACAGGGCTGGGTGAACGCGTTTCCTGTGTTTTATAATGAGAAACCAGGACAGAGCTGTCAGGGTGATCAGGGTCATTACACAACTGTGGTGGAATTAACCAGGGTGGGGGGTGGGGGTGACTTCCCAGATGAGTGGGGCTATGTGGGCCCCTGAACTGTGGGCTCCTGGGGCTGTGGTTAAACCCCCTGCTTATAGAACCTACTGGATCAAGTTTTGCAAAGCCTGGAGGATTCTTGTTAAAGAGTTTTGTGGGAAGACATTGCATCCAACCAGCATGAGTTTGTCTCTCAATCTCCCTTACTCCCTGTAAGTCCACCGATGTCCACTGTAGCATTGTGCAAATCATCTTTTGCCTATAGATACATGTCCACAGTAGCTTTGTAAAAAGGCCTGCTGAAGAAACTTTGTGATTTTGAGGTTTTACATGATTTTCAGATTACTGTATATATTTTTGATTTGGTTTCAAACACTTGGAAAAGTTATGAGAAGAGTGCCAAGAGCTTTCCATATACCTGTCGTTTAAATCAGGGCACAACCAACTGTCTGCCAAAGACGAGTATTTTAGGCTTTCTTGGTCATAACTATTTACCTCAGCTATTGTTGCACAGTAGCAGCCACAGATGTAAATATGATTGGGCACGGCTGTGTCCCAGTGAAAGTTATTTGTTACAGCAGACGGTGTGTCATATTGGTCCCTGGTTTCCACTTGCTGACGCTAATCTACATTTACCAATTGTTAACTTTTTGTGTGTGCCATATTTGCTTTAACGTATATATTACTATACTTATGTATCTACTCTATAACTATAATAACAATGAACAATAATATAATATAGCAATATATTAACTATGTTAATATTAAAACAATGTAACTATAGCAATTATAAGTATATAGTTTATATGCTTATATATAATTGCTATTGTTAATGTTCCCAGAGACTTAATGATGTACATAACGGTATAGTTTAAATGATAAAGAATTGCAGTCAGAGTANACTCTAATTGAAAATTTTATCAATAATGAAATAAAAATTATATAGATAAGATAATCATGAGCTTATGGGTGCCAGGGGTATACTAATATTTAGATGACTGATATTTATACGTGACTATTAATTTTTACTAAAACTTGCATTAAAATATAATTTTGAGAATCAAAGCTCCGTTCATATGAATGTAACATTGCTCTCTCTTATTTAAGACTATGTATTTTAATTAGTTGTATTTATATATTATCTATATAGTACATTTTATGTGCTATAATTAAATCTTATATATATAGTACTGTAGACAGGAATACACTATATATTATACATGTAACTGTATAGACTTTGTTTATTCAACAGTATTCTTGTTTACTATTATAATTGTTATTGAACAATGGAGCCTAGCTAGTATCATTAATTCATTACAATATATTCTCATATGTGAATAAATGATATATTCAAACACTATTCTGAGTTCTGAAACTTTCCTGTCAGAATCTAATGACCAGGTTTATTCAGTATATTTTAATAGAGTAAACTGGATGAATGTTAATTGTGCTGTGTTCACTGAGATACAGACATAAGTTAACAGGACAATGTGTGTGTGTGTGTTATTTTAAATGCAATGCAACTTCACACTATCACTTGCAGGACAGCGTACAAAAATAGCTCTATGTTGCCCATTGAAAAGCAACTTCGTATTACACAGTTCATGAGAAAAAAAAACTCATCTGTAACAACAACCTTTAAAAAGTATCTCTCACTGACTAAAAAATACCTCTTACCCAAAGCGTTCTGCCTGGTAGTGAACTTCACCACTTGATCCTACATGTCCCCTCCACTCCGTGCAACTTTTCTTGTTCCATTGTGTTGAAATAAACGTTATTTTTTGTGCCTCTCCTGCCGTGTCCATGATGCTCTTGCTCAGATTCCCATTCTATGCAGTTACAGTGAACCCTTGACCTACGAGCTAGGTTGGAAAGCATCACTCTTTTGTGGAGGCTTTGTACCTTACCTGTGCTGATTTATTTCTGTTTTTCTTCCCTCCCCAGTGCTTGGAGCCCTGCAAGGAATCCTCAGACCTGCGGAAGGAGCAGTGCCAGCGATTCTGTGAGGTGAGGCAGTTCGGGCACTCGTCCACCGGTGCTGAGTTCATGGCTGAGATAGGACAGTGACGCAGGGGGGGCGTTGGCAGAAAGGGCATGCGTGTTCTTCTGCAGCTTGGAGAGTTCCACTCACTGTGTGTTTCTGTGTGTGTGTGTGTGTGTGTGTGTGTGTGTGTGTGTGTAAATACACATCCAAAAGAAAAAAACTTCTCCAGCCTTCTTAAGACTAGTCAACCGCTGCTTCCATTCTTGGTAAGTCAAACAGGAAAAAAAAATGTGTTACCTACGCTTGGAAGACCAGACACGTTCTAAAAGTACAAATGATTGTCCCTGCTGTGGGTAATTCTCTGCATGCCAGTGACCTTCTCGTGCCGTGAGGGAGAAGACACCCATTTTCTGAGCAGCCGCGTTTCTCAAACATTTTCTTCTTGTTGGGCTCCCCCTCTCCTGGGCCGAAGGCTTGCTCACTTATGTCTCCAGGGGGCATATTACTTTCACTGTGCTCTCAGTCAGCTAATAAACAGTATCCTTGTCCTGGACAATCACTGTCTAAAGGTACCAGTCGTGCAGAAGAGGGGCTTTGCTGTATGGTCTCCTCAGAGCTCACTAGAGACCCGGGGTCTGGTGCAGCCTGGGACCTGCTGACATGCAGATGGGGGGACGTGGGGCCAGGCCGACTGCACAGTGGCCTCTCTAAGGGGAGACAGTTGTAAATTGCATGAGAGCTTGTGGAGAACAACGATTGAAGGAGTCCACTGGACATCAAAGACGCTCCCTTGAGGGTTGTGGAGAGAACCAGAAAGCATGTTCCTGTCACCTCAGAGTGAGCTGACATGAGGGGACTTCTTTCAATGCAACGGGGGGCTGGCAGGGAACTGCCCCGAGCTACTGCAGACACACAGCGTGGTCTGGGCATCCCCTGCAAGAGGTATGCCTGGGATCCTGTGACCTGTGTCTCACCTTGAAAGCGCACAGATTCCATCCTGGGAATAGGTGTGTGGAATTGGGATAATACTGGTGTCATCCATTTCACGGTGCCTAAGCCATCTCCATAGTCACGGTATCATTTGGCCTTCCTAATAAGTGTGTTAAGTCCACAAGAGTTGTGCATGCAAGCATGGTGGCCTGGGGAGTGGTACCTCATCACATCCCATGGCTTGCCCGCTCCAGGTAGCAAGACCTGGTGTGAGACCCATCTCTGACACCTTTCCCCATGTCCATGTGCTATTAAACTACAGCCGGACTTCCCTGGAACAGGCACAAGGGGTCACAGTGTTATGGGTTCTTCTAGAAAGTGTTCAGTCGTGTGTCAGAAAAGTAGAATGTAAGTGTGTCTCCACGACCGACACGATCAACACGTGATCTTCCTAACCCCCACTTCATTTTGCTCTGAAAGTTCCTGCTCGGCATTGCCTGACTGGCTGGACCATTGGTGATTTGCAGACTCTTTCGTGGGGGATTTCTGCAGCCAGGATTTCTGCATGTGAGGCCCTGGGAGTATCGTCAGGGACGTCCTCGGAAGCGTGTTGTAATTGTGCACATCAAAATGCCTTGCATAATCCACAGACTGGCAGGTTTTCAGAGGTATTTAGCCAGTTTCTCTGCTGCCCACTCACGAGTTAGCATTAAATAAAATGGAAGAAGAGCCTCATCTATGTTTTTTGTTTTTAGATATTGGGGACGACACAGAGTCGCATAAAATATGGTTTCTGTGCTCCCTCCAGAGAGCTCACATATTACGCTTCCGTTTTTCCAAAACAGTTCTGCTCCTTCAAAGACCCCACCCAAAGTTTTCCAGCAAATATATGCGTACCTGGCATTAAACTGAGTGTATCTTTATAGCAGTTATCTATTGCTGCATAACAAATGGCCCCCAAACTCAGTGGCTTCAAAGGGCACCCACTTACTGTCTCACGGTTTCTATAGGTCAGGGGTTCTCGACTGTAGGGTCCCGCAAAGCTATAATGCCGCTGTTGGCTGGGCTGCATTCTCATCTGGGGTGCACACTGGGGGAGAATTTGCTTCTTGACATTTTCCTGTTATTGGCAGAATTCATTTACTTGAAACTGTAGGGTGGAACTTCTGTTTTTCTGGCTGGCTCTTGACAGGAGTCCACTGTCGGCTATGAGAAGTTGCCTGAAGTTTCTGGTCACATTGTCCCCTTCATGGGCTACACCCACGTGGCTGTTTACTTCTCCAAGGCCACCAGGAGAACCTTGATCTCCAGTCCTCTGAGGCCGAGTCTTACATATTAACATAATCTCAGGATCAATGTGACTTCACCTTGGCAAATCCTATTGGTTAAAAGCAGGTTGCCCCGCCCTCCAAAGACACACACACACACACACACACACACACGAAGGTGATTACAGCTGGAAGTGGCTCAGTGGGGCTCCCTCTAGGGTGTGTGGACTCCGGAAAGCAAGTGAAAAGGAGGAATTCGGGCCCCTTGCGAAATCGGACAGAGTAGAGGCATCAGAAATAAGAGAGAAAAACTGCTGGATGGGTGCAAAGACAGGGGAGCGACGCCATCCCCGTATCTTCCATGGCCCATAACATGAGTTCCTTGTTTTATTTTGTCTTCTGCCCACAAACCACACATCCACATGAACGAAAATATGCCATTGTAGAGTCTTGAGGAAGAAGGCGGTGTCAGGCTGTTTTCTTAATAAACATGTTATTACAGTCTATCGGTGACTGTGATTCATCTTGTTATGCCTGAAGGTGATTTGAAACCCGTCTCCATGGAAATTCCAAATGGGACCGTGTGTTTCTGTAATTGCTGTTTGCTCTGAAATCGCGGTGAGGTCTTCCAAACCCAATCCGATGATTAAAGTGGGACACTTGTGCCCAAATGGCGATCCGCTCTGGCAGGAAAGGTTAATTGAAACTTGGAAGGTGGGCAAAGCAGAGGCCAGTTAATGTGATGAATTTTATGGCAAGAGACAGTCAGCCCAATGATCAAATACCTCAACTCCCGATGTGCAGTGTAGCTGCTAAAATTGTTCTCACATCTCTCTGTGTGTTTTTTGCTTCTTCTTTTGCAGGACCTCTCTGACTGTTACATGGAAATAGACGGGATCCTGGGGGGCAAAATGGGTCTCTGTTTCAGCATTTTTAAGGCTGGTCTTTCACTGAGGTAGACCTAATGTAATCGGTTATCATGTTATATATTAAGAATGCATACGAGGTCTATATGGTCATGAAGCTAAGCTTTCCCTTGGTAAGTCTCCACCCAGCAGGACTTTGCACTTTTTTCTTCTACAGCGGAACAACTAGACTCTTAGATACATTTGGCCCAGTGTGTCAAGAGCTGAGTAGTGTGAGATCATATGGTCCATAAAACTGAAAATATTTACTGTCTGGTCCTTTACAGAAAATGGCTTCCAACGCCTACTCTAAGAGAAAGAGCAACAGTCCCAATATTATAAAGACCATGTAGAGTGTTCCTTCTTTTTTTTTTTTAATTTACATGAACCTTTTTTGTTTTTTTAAAGATTTTATTGGGGAATTGGGGAGGCAACAGTGTTGGAGAATTAGGGAAGGGGAACAGCCAAGTTGTTGCCCTTCATTCTTAGTTGTGGAGTGCGCAGCTAGCTCAGCTCCAAGTCCAGTTGCGCCACTCAGCTCAAGGTGCTGTGTGCAATTAGTTGCAGGTGGGTGTAGCCACCACCCCATGCAGGAGCCAAACTGGCAGCCTTGTTGTTAAGAGCACACGCTCTATCCCCTGAGCCCCCCAGGTGGCAGCTCAGCTCAAGGTGCCAAGTTCTTCTGTCTTTAGTTGTGGGTGGGTGTAGCCCACCATCTCGAGCAGGCAACCTTGTTGTTAGGAGCACATGCTCTCACCAGCTGAGCCATCCTGCCACCTGTTGGCAGCTCAGCAGCAGCTCAGCTTGGGCACAGCTCACAGGCCCATGTGGGAATCGAACTGGTGACCCTGGTGCTCAGAGCTCGCACTCTTGAGCAAGCTCTTAACCAACTGAGCCACTCGGCCGGCCCCTAGAGTGTTATTTCTTCATCTATATTGCCAGCACCTATTTCTAAACTTAAAGCGTTGTTAGTTTTAGTCACAAAATACATTTTCCCACATGGAAGAGATTTTTTTTTTTTTTGCTGGATGACACCCCTCTCATCTTGAATTCTGCTGTGTCTGATTTCATGACACCCAAACCTAATCAGAGCTCATTGGGATGTCAACCTTGACAATATGAAGTGTGCATAAGGGGTCAAGCAAAGCTGAGATTTCATCTGCTTCAGGGATTAATCAATGAGAGAGGTATCCATTGTTGATGTTGAACTTGTGAGTTGCATCAGCCTGGGTTCTGGTAGAGCCAGTCTCTGGCAGTGTGGAATAAGGTTTTCACATGATTACAGATAGAATTGTTGATTCATTTCTTTGTGGTTTTTGCCGTTCAAAACGTTTCCCAAGCTTATTAAATTTGATTTTCATAACAATTCTCTAAGAATTATTATGAAGTTAGGTCTGAATTTCATCAGGTGAACTTATGGACACTAGAACTGACACCCAAGGAGAAAATGGTTTTATTTACCCAAGATTCCAGGGTGAATTGCTAGAAAAAAAATCACATCTAAAATAGGACTCATAGATACGATCGCCTGTGTTTTTTTGAAAAGTCAATTAGTGAACTGTCCTGAGTTCATTCAATGAAGGTTCGATATGAAAGATGGACTCAACTTTTACTAAAAATATTTCCTATTTTTCTAAAAAAAATAAAAGTTGCAGTATAGCCCATGGGTACTCTCATGGGTTTAGGGGAGCTTTAATGTTTGGGAGGCACTGAATTGTCACTTGGGATGGTATGCCTGGGGGGTTAGAAACACAGTTTCTTCCATCTACTTGTACCACCTGAGCAGCAAACGAGAGATGTAAGTGGCTCAGCCCATGGTGTAAGTGGTGGAGGGGTCAGAAACGGTCACTACGTAGTTTAAAGGTAGAGCTGACAGAGGTGATGGCAGGTTGGATATGAGGAATCAGAGGAAATGAAGAA